GTGTGTGTGTGTGTGTGTGTGTGTGTGTGTGTGTGTGTGTGTGTGTGCGCTGATGGCAGGGGGTTTGGGTGTACTTAGAAGCCACTGAATGAGAGCGTGCACGCAGTCAGTTCGTCCTGATGCACGGGCCTGTACGTGCATCTCATTAGCGGACAGACAGGTTAAACACGACGTGCAGGCGACGCGTGAATTTTGGGGGATTCATTCATAATTTATAATGCATTTCTTATCATCTTTTAAAACCAGTGACGCATGCATAATGATAAACCTGCAGCATGTGTTTCAAATTTAAAACAAAAGAAACACCACTTTGGCCATTTCAACCGACTGGATAAATGGGGGTTCTTATCTTGCTCGTTTCTGCATAGCTGGCTTATTCATTTATCCTAATTCTTTACAATCTAAGGTAGAAATACAGTAAAACTGCATGCAAATAAATTGATGTGCTGCAGAATTATGGTTTCAATCACCTTTCAGAAAAGCTCAGTTCCTCTATGTTTTTCCAAGGCCTTTAATTTCACTGCAAGTCCCAGCCTACATCGATTTGCATTTCATTCGATTCCTTTTCATTAATTCCTTCTGTTACTTTTCATCCTTTTACAGACACACGCATTTAAATGTTTGGGTTGTTATCGTTTTGCGTCCTGATTTTTGGACAGAAAACATGTGGCCGATAAATGTGACTTTCACGGAGAGAAAAAAAAAGAAGGACTTTGAGGAATGCCCACAGACGTGTGTGTCTGGAGGCTGGAGCTGCGGCTTGGTCCCGTGAATGCTAATGTGTGAAAGTGAGTGGGCTGCTGCAATGCGGTACAGTCATGTTCGCCTGGTCTCAGCTCTGCATGCCAAGTCTCTTTTTTCCATTCGTTATATTTTCCTATGTGCAAATACAGAAGACATGTTTTGATTTGAATTCGTTGTTCGTGTCTTTGTCCTCTGATTTGAAGCTCACAGATTTGACGCTCCTTATAGTGTGACAGAATTAACTACAATATGGAGGCCTCTCCATCCATACAGCTGCTTTTATCATGTTGATGCTGGAAGAACTGCCCCCTGAATTTTCTTCCCTGACATGACAAAAAACTCTCTCAGATAGGCACACAAACCACCCAACTATACTGTTATCAATTATTCTCACAAGTGGAAATAGAAACGGGCCTCCTCAGAAATGTTTTCCATTACAGGATACATTTTTGTACGGGGTGTATCATATACGATCAGGGGACACTGACAACTGTCCTCACCTGGCTGTTGCAGGGTGATAGAGAGGAAACAGAAAACCGGGGAGGTGATCGAGCTGACAGAGGATGGGCGGCCCCGGGAGGCCGTGGAGAAGAAACCCCCGCTATGCGACTGCAGCTGCTTCGGTCTGCCCCGCCGCTACATCATCGCCATCATGAGCGGCCTGGGCTTCTGCATCTCCTTCGGTATCCGGTGTAACCTGGGCGTGGCCATAGTGGGCATGGTCAACAACAGCACCATCCACGAGAACGGCAAGATCATCGTCACAGAGGTGTGGCAACGGCAGCGAGCGCTCCTGACGCACAGGCAACGTAGACCGCATGCCTCGAGACACAAGACACCTGACTCGTATTCAAGAAAAGAAAGGACAGGAAAAGAAAAATTAATTCCTCCACACATGATATACGGTATATGTAGGGCCTACAGGCCTATTCAGCAATAAAATCACTTAAATAGCCCCCAATATTCATTGGCTGATGAGTTTGTACACAATTTAAGTGGGTATTTGTGGGTATATAGAAAACCTTTTAAAGGCTTCAGATATTTGAATGCATGCCCCAATCGTTAATTCGCCATAAAGATGCTGCCCGTGTTTTATAATGTCAACTTGTGTTGATAGCATAGTTGACATATACAGTATATGCATAATACATATTGGGAAACAGGCTATGTGATGCAATTTTAAAAGTAGCAAATGTATCCTGTATGGAAATCATGGAACATCAGTTGACGTTATTCTAAACACAGTTTCTCGACAGCATTTATTTGCATAAAAGGTAAATGAGTAAAAATACACATAAGCTATACATCTACAAAAATATGTCTCAATAACAGAATTCACAACAGTCTATAGATATTTAGGTATAATTGAATACTATTTTGTATTTTTGGCTTTTAGGCCAAATAATAACCGAATTGTCGAGCTACATCTCACACACAACTCTTTACTTCCGCGCAGATTGTCAATTGTTTTTCTTTAAAGTGCAGGACGCACGCATGATTTTGGTGCACAGGTCAATTTAATCTGATTGAAATAACCCGGTACAGGCCTTTAATAAACAGGCCTGTCTTGCGATCAATCCATTCAGAGAATAAACGTTTTTCGTTTGTTTCGACCCTAAACATGTTCAACAGAGGTCATTCAACAAAATGCAACGTCAATGTTGTTGTTTTTTCACTGGTTTTGTTTTTCCATATTATCTCCCAGAAAGCCAAGTTCAACTGGGATCCAGAGACGGTGGGACTGATTCACGGATCATTTTTCTGGGGCTACATCGTTACACAAATCCCTGGAGGATACATATGCTCCAGGCTGGCAGCAAACAGGTAGGACAGTCCTCCTGTGGATATAACAATAATACAACACAGTGACAGTCATTTTTCAGGTTATATATTTTTTTATTACCATTTCTTGCCAATTAATCAAAATGACCGAACAGTTGGTCGGACTCTCTCTTCGTCTCACTCTCATTTTTTTTATTGTCTGTTATTTCTAAAATAAGGAGGGAACGAAAATGAACACATGGGGACTGGAATAAATTCAGATAATAAAAAAGACAGCCAAGGCCAGACACGGAAAAAAAATGGCGTCTTGCCTGAATTATGAATTGGTTAAAGAATTCACAGGCGGAGTCTCACCACATAAAGGCAGCAGCCAGACAGTCAGCTGCTCTGAAGTGATGCGGAGCTGCAGGGAGGCACCGGGCTGGCAGGCCTGCAGCTCCCGGTGTCAGGGCTTTCTGCCACCTGTTAATGAGCTCCCTGGGGGGAGCCGGGTCTAATCCGTCGCTCTCTCAGGGAATGGAGACCAGACCATGTCTTGTCGCCAAAGGCTTTAATTCACATGAGCACTGCCGATGCGTCATCATATTTATTACAAACACTATATGCTATAACATTAATACGAAGATGCACGTTTTTAGCAATTGAATGTTGATATGCACAATCTTGCCATTTGGTAAAACCACCATGAAGGCAAAATGGTTCTGCTTAGATGCCTAAATAGTGAGCACGCTATAACTATGAACGTTTAGGTCTATAAATTTAAAGGCAAAGAATAGCCTAATATTGACAACACTAATTCTAATTAGTGTTATGAGTCAACACTAATAAAAAGGGGCCAGTATGTCTAACAAATCTACCTGCTATAACTTCATATTAATGTAGCCTATCGCTCGTTTTTGTATTACATTTTTATTTCCCTCGCATCCTGGTCTGTTCCTTGTCCTGTTGATTGACACGAGGATGTAATCGAATCAATTGGTCTCGTGCCCAACAGTAGTCTCAACCGGATTAGGACTTGCCCCCCGCGTGCAGGTGAGAGGGGTGGTAGAACGTGACAGAAATGAGAAATAGCTCTGTGTTTATGGATGGCCTGGCCCTCCCTGCTTTTATAATAACCACAGACAGCCTCATCTTGTCAGAGAATTAAGAGAGTCATTATACGTCGTAAAAAAAAAATTAAATGCCATTCTTTATGAAAAACACTTTTCTTGAAACCTTAGGCCTATACCGAATTGAAAATGGTTGCTAGGCGACACGTGCGCATCTGTTACGCGACTGTTAACGGGGCGTTGCTCCTTGAAATATTTATTTTTCTGATGTCAGAGGAGCGCGTGCCAATCCGAACCGAGGACACAACAAACGAACGTCGATTCGTAATAAATGATTAGGCTTTACACTACAGAGGTTTTGACATGCGACAGATAGTTCTGTGTCCACAACGACATAAAGACAAAGAGACTTTTGATGACCTTTCATGTAGAATATATAAGTTGATCATTTGCCATGGCTATCTATTATAAATAATGTGCTAATAGCTTCCTTAACATAAAGGCATATTTCATCATGTGATATTTCAATGCTTTGCTCCATGTCACCATAGAGCTAACATGGCAATGCCATTCATTCAGTTCAGTTGAAATCATTATGATACATATGAAATGCTACATTTAAAATACATCTTACAATTTTCAGGGTATTTGGTGCAGCCATTGTGCTAACCTCGATCTTCAACATGTTCATTCCCTCGGCTGCCCGAGTCCACTATGGGTGTGTCATCTTTGTCAGGATATTACAAGGGCTGGTGGAGGTAAGAGCTTGTTAGCAGGTGTATTACAACATTTTTAATATTTCTGCCCTGTAATAAAAAATTGTGGATGGATTCACAAGTAAAAATCAGTCTTAAAAACATTCTCACTAATAATAGAACATAAAGGTTACACATGTGTGATGGAGTTTCTGTTAATGTGGCTATCAATAGCTGATTTGCAATAATACAGTACACAAAGGGTACTCCAGGAGAAAGCAAAGGAAAGACTGTAACACTGGATATTCAACCTGAGGAAACGTGAGAGCTGTATTGATCCAGTACTCTACAGCCGAGTGTTTGTGGGATAGTCCAGCTTCCTATTTTGCTGTCACACTTTGTATCTGGGAAACACAACAGCAAAGTCCTGGGAGATGCAAATGAAAAGGCTGATAGGCAAAAATACATCAGTCCTCGTATAGTGAAATATGACACCCAGATATCTGCCTGCTGTGTAGTTGATGTTCATACAATGTATCGGTTATAGCGCAAAACACAGAAAGCTGATACTAGAGTTGTTACATACACAAATATGACAGACGTAAAGTAAAAATGATGTTGTTGGGGGTCATCATTTGTAGAAATGGGATCATATTTTAGGACAGTGGAATGTCTGGACGAGAGTTTATAATATAATTTTAATGTTTTTAGACAAATAGTATCAAATGCTTAATGGTGGATAATTATCTCACCAGTAGCCTAGCATCATAAAGCATGTTACAGCACATCTTTATTGAAGGCTATAGGTTTGAACAGTTTTGTGGGGAATAAATAAAAACAAATGTATTATTATAGCGCACTGCACTGCTCTCCTAAGAAAGTGCAGATTGCATTTCACGTCAGCACAGTTTGTTCAGATTAGTGTCTGATGAACATTTAATAGCTGCAGGGCTGCTTCGCTCCATGAACAGCTCATCAGGTCCTCTGTAGCAATTTGTTCATGTTAATTACAAGGGTGGAAATGTTAATTCGTTTTTGTTATTATATCAGAATCTGTTGATTCATGTTCATATGTAACAGGATTTTGCCTCTTAGACTGCTAGTAATTCCTAAACTCAATAATCCAGAAATACAATTTCTGTGAAGCATAACAATGCCTTGATAATGTTTGAAAATGATGGGTAAAATGGTTGTGTTTCTATTTATATAAGGCTATTTACCTCATTGGCTCAATCAAAAATGAATGCTTACTAAGTCCTGTTATTTGTTTATTGTACAAACCCGTATATTTATTTTCACCAAATGCCAAAAATGGCCGACATGAAGCATTGACCACTATCATTAAATACATAAAAACAAAATGTGTGTATCAGAAGTGCTGACATGATAAGCTGAAGAACATGGAGTTCCATTCTGCTGTTTCTTACCATGAATGAACACAGACTGTCTCTGTGCGGTGTGTTTAGGGAGTGACCTACCCGGCATGTCATGGCATCTGGAGTAAGTGGGCTCCTCCGCTGGAGAGGAGTCGACTGGCCACCCTCTCATTCTGTGGTAAACACTCATTTCTCAGTTTCTCCTATTGGCATTAATAAATAATGATGTGTTATTACCGTAGTGGTGAAGAAGTCTGACTTGACTCCCATGTCTCGCCGTCTGTCAGGCTCTTATGCTGGTGCTGTGATAGCGATGCCTCTGGCTGGGATCCTGGTTCAGTATTCAGGCTGGTCCTCTGTGTTCTATGTCTATGGTAAGATGGATCGATGATGCATGTGATATGTGTGTATCGTTGCACGAGTAAATATGAGATGTCAAATTCATTCATTAACACAATAAAGTAAATATAAATATGTGTATATGTGGAAAGGCGTGTGTTGTCAGGCTGGTTAAAACCTTGAGAGTTTGACACGCAGTGAAAGTCAAATGGATTTATCCAGGCAGACTGCGTATTGATTTCCTCCCCCAATGTTTTGGTGTGTCAATATATAACCCCCCCCCCCCTCCATGTTTCTCACTGGACTGGATACAGCTAGCGCTCCTGTCTGGGTTTTCTTCTCTCAGGCGTTGTGGAAAGATCAGACTGCCAACTACTCTGTGTGTGTACCTACAGCTGAGGTCAAAATTGGCTGCAGTACTTTGTCTGTAATGATCTAAAGTTCTCACACATTTTCTATCTGTCATGTGCAGGATGCTTCGGCATCTTTTGGTATGTGTTCTGGGTCCTTGTGTCTTATGAGAGCCCTGCTGAACATCCTACCATCACTCATGAGGAACGCTGCTACATAGAGGAGAGCATTGGAGAGAGCATCAACCTATCGGGTGCTGCCGAGGTAACAATCTGGACAATGAATATCATTTAATACACCCAGCCCTCTTTGTTCTCAACCCTTTTTGTTGTACACGGTACGAGAAGTACTATACTTCAATCCCATCAGCCCTTTTGTCTTTTGTCAGGGAGACGCTATCAAACGCATTTATGTAAAATGCAATCCTTTTTGATCATCTGTTGCAGAAATTCAAGACCCCCTGGAAGAAGTTCTTCACCTCTATGCCCGTCTATGCAATCATTGTGGCCAACTTCTGCAGGAGCTGGACGTTTTACCTGCTGCTGATCAGCCAGCCTGCATACTTTGAGGAAGTCTTTGGCTTTGAGATAAGCAAGGTGAGCTTACAATACAAGTCAGTGGACATGGTGACAAACGTGGAGCATGTATTGAGTGATCGATAAATGATAGATTCAAATGCACTGGAAATAATCGCTCAACACTAGTGCCAAACGTTTTAGAGCTGAGCATGTGACACTTTGCTCTTGGAATGATTCATTATCAAAATCAATGTCAGCAACTGGTGGCCTGTGGTCCTATGTCATGAACTGACACATTACATACCAAGGCAGCTTTGGTTCATAAAGGATAAAAAGATAGTAAGTAACTGCTATCACAAATCATTTGACGCTGCTGAATTATACAGGTAAAATGATACGGGCCACCTGCAATAGCATAGATAAATAAGTAACCGTAGAACAAGTGATTCATATTGAAACATACAATCAATGTAACATCAGGTTACATGATCTCTTAAAGCCCCTAAAAACTTAATTTCACATCATAACAATAAATATTCATGATAAAAAAAGCAACAATCAAAGTTAAAGTTTGGGGGAAAACATCTCTAGTTATAGTTTATTTCGTCATTAACAACCTGTAATCTCCCCCTTTGTCCAAAACATGTGAAATGTATTCACTATAGTTCCCTCAAAATCAGACAATGAAATAAAAAAGTAGTGTTCATGGCAACACTATGCTATTTGCCACGATTTACAGAAGTAAAAAAACAATGTTTTGTTTTTAAATTTAAAAAAAGCTCATGAGTCATGATTATTTGGGACCATATTCAGTCATGTGTGGTGGACATGTGTGGTGAATGTCCCTGTCGGTGATGAAACTAAACTATGTTGTATTTCCTCAAAAAGGCATCATGAATGTATCATGTTGCCTGAATTGGTTGATTTTCTGCTTGTGGTTGTAGGTCGGCATGCTGTCCGCGCTGCCACATTTGGTGATGACCATCATCGTGCCCATCGGCGGCCAGCTGGCTGACTACCTACGCAGCAGGAACATCCTAACGACTACCACTGTCAGGAAAATCATGAACTGTGGAGGTGAGAAGTCTGAACCGAGGATGAAATATCATTTTCCACACCTCTCTCTGCTCAGATACAGGGTGTTACCTAACGGTGTTAGATCCATACTGCTCTTATTTTTGTTGCTCTTCACTGCCAGAGAGATGGTTGTGTTTATATTTTTTCTGTTCAATACTTAGTTGACTCGCTGATTGTGACTGTGCATTGATTTTTACATCTACCCTTGGGTAATTGAGTGCAGACCATGTATCATGATTAATTCAATTGGCACCACCATGCCCAACAGCCCGTGGGCTTTGTGTGTTTCTGTGTGTGCGTGCACGTGTGTGTGTGTGTGTGTGTGTGTGTGTGTGACCTGCTGTCTATCTCTGTTAGGATTTGGCATGGAGGCCACATTGCTGCTGGTGGTGGGATTTTCCCACAGCAAAGGGATGGCCATCTCCTTCCTGGTACTGGCAGTGGGCTTCAGTGGATTTGCTATATCGGGTTAGTACAAGTAAAACACACTTTCTGCTCAATCAGAATGTAATTTAGGTAGAATTTCGTGTATGACATACTACATATAAAAAGTGTGTGATGTTTTACTGGGTCTAATGTGTGTAGCTTTCACAAAAGAAGGGCCAATGAGGCTGGAAGTCACATTTGAAGGGGTTAGCCAACTGAGAGCATGTAAGTGCGGAACATTATACCTAAACTAGAGTTACTTCGATGATAAGATAGTTGGTCCTTTTCAGACTCTTTGACATGCAGCTGAAGTATGAGAGTAGGGATTATAAAACAGTATAACAAACATTGTTGAAATGTATTTGAAATACAAAACAATTTTGTTACCATCCCAAGCATTGGTATGTTTGCTGTTATTTGACAATATGATGTTGCAGATGCAGTAGAATTGAGGGTTCTCTTTTAAACACACCAACAACACCAGCACTGAGCTTCATCAATACAAGCTGCGTAGCTACAGACCTCCCCAAGACATCAGATTACAGATATTATTTGTAACACATTTTAACTGACGGTCAAAATGAACCTTTTCAATGTTCTTCAGCCACTTATTCAACAGATCTTTTCATATTGATGCGCAGGTCTGTGACTGTGTGCAAAATCAGTTTCTTGCCGGTTGTTCTCGAGCTCTCTCCTGGAGTGTTTAATAATTCAGTGCTAGCTAGCTGTCTCGGGGGATTTGCCAGGCAGGCAGTGTGAGGCAGATCGCGAGGACACTTACTCATTCAGCTAGTCACTATGGGGGAGGAGGAGAATGTGTGGCGAGTTACTGCCTATTTCTGCAACAAGATGGGCACCATTTGGGCTACTTTCATCTAAAACTGTGTCCAGCTTCTGTTTTGATACATACTGTCACAGTGGTTTGCCTAAATTTGGCATTTTAATCTGGTTGTCTGGCCTTGTCGTAATTGAAAAAGGTAAAATGTATCAACAATATTAAAATTGAATGTGTTGCTTTTTTTTTGCTGCATCAGGCTTTAATGTCAATCACCTGGACATCGCACCGCGCTACGCCAGTATCCTAATGGGAATCTCTAATGGTGTGGGTACCCTGTCTGGGATGGTGTGCCCAATAATTGTTGGTACTATGACAAAGAACAAGGTAAGAGCTTCTTCATTTATAGGCACCAAAAACGGCACTAATAAACATCCACTCATTATATGTGTGCAATAAGTCTTAAAGGTCTTAAAGACCTAGATAAGTCAGCAACACTTAAAGTCCCCCTATTTAGCATTTCATAGCAGTAAATACAGTAAATATTGAATTGTCTGTAACAAACTATAATGCAGCTGTAAGCACGTATAAATGTTTATTAATGTATTCCTCAACAGGTATAACTCTTCCTGTGAAGCTTCCATAAAAGCTGGCTGAAGTATAAACAGATTATGAATTCCGATATAGTAAAACACAGTTGTAATGAAATTAACACTGTAGAGATTCTATTTAAAACATGTCTTCATAAGATAAGACATAATTGCTATCAAATGCAGACGTAATGATTTTGCGACATGGTATACTGATAGTACACAGAAAACATTATGATTCAATTAATAGGACAGATGTTTTACTCGCTCCTCTAATAATCCCTGATTAGTGGTACCTGGACAGTAAATATATGAAAGTATGTATATGTACATTACATGATGCTCACATGGGGTCATGTATTGAAACCCAAGACTTAATGTTTTATTCATGACTGCACCAGCTTATTAAATGGACATATTACAGATTCAGAAAACACACATTTCTCAAAAATAATTAAATTATACTTTTGTTGGGGACTATTTCAGCTGCAAATTAACACACGTCTGAGAGCTAGTGAGAACTTGCAGCAGCAGGGTGGTGTATACTATGTTGGTGGTAAGGAACAATGTGTTTTTAATATTAGACAACAATGTCTCTTGCACACAGACAATACTTGTAAGTGAGATCTTTTGGTTGTTGGCTTTAGTTATTTTCACAATAAGATGTACATAAAAAACGTTTTGGGGTTTGCTTCCCTCTTCAGACTCGAGAGGAGTGGCAGTCTGTGTTCCTGATCGCCTCCATGGTGCACTATGGGGGTGTGATCTTCTACGGGATATTTGCGTCGGGAGAAAAACAGCCGTGGGCCGACCCAGAACTGACCAGCGAGGAGAAGTGTGGCTTCATAGACGAGGATGAGCTGGCAGAAGAGACAGGCGACATCACTCAAAGTTACGGGGCCTTTGGAGGTCCGGCTAAATCGTACGGTGCAACCACGCAGGTGAACGGAGGCTGGGCCTCAGGCTGGGAGAAGACAGAGGAGTACGTCCAGGAAGAAGCGCAGGCGGGAGGCTACGGATACAGGAAGGATGAGGGATACTCCTAGACCCAAACACACATTCACCGACACATGAGTAGACTTACTTTCCTGAGTGTGCATCAATTTAGTCAAAAAAGATATCAACAGATGAGTAACAAGAAAAACTACAATCCGTTGTTGTATCGATCGCACACATTCAAAAATCCCAAAGAAATTCAAAAAAAGTATCAACTTAATTTAAAAATTGCTAAAGTGTGTACAAAATTCAAAGATATTGGATCAATAGAGGTGTATCACATATCAAATTGGTCTGTAAATGTATTATTATGCATATTGATAATAGATATATTCATTCGGAGTGCAATTGTGTGTAAATGTGAACATTTTTATCCCATCAGCCGAGGCCTCCTGACCACACTGACGCCAGTAGGGTTACATAGGAGCTGCCCATCAGAGTGCCGACTCCTTATTTATTAACTTAACTGTGACAGTACAACGTCCTACAAGCCAGCCATTACAGTGTATAGATATGTCACTCCACAGCGTGGTGAACAGAAACTAGACCCTCTGTTGATATAGATTGTATTGTATCTCTCCGCACTCAGAGTAGTGTGTCTTTTTTGGGCACTATATGATGAATTTTGTTTTCTTATCACCGGCTTCTGTGTGAGTAAAAGTCCTTAACATGTAAGTGAGCTTGTGTAGAGATTTGAGTGGCATAATAATGGCATAATAATGACTTGTGATGACTTGTGATGACTGTTTGGTTACACTTTCATATAAGGTTAAAAAAAAAAACCCGTCTGTCTAATGTTAGCTACATGTGATGACTCGGTATCTCTGCAGATGAGCATTTTGATTTTACCAATTTTAATCCGTCACATCTCAGCAGTATAGTGCAGGAGTAAAGCCATTGTCATATACTTACCATAACTGTCAAAAGTCTAGTTGCACCGGTGCATTGTTGAAAGATTTGTCTTAACTAAAACATATATAACAGAGATAACTACAGAATAAATATGTATGCAAGTTAATAGATTAAATTTATAGATGAACAGTCATATGCAACCGTATGAAGGGTTTGTGCAATGCAAAGAGTTTAGGAAAGTACAGATTAATCAAAATCAGTATGAGAGTCTTACTTAACCTAATAATGTTTAATGAGAAGAAGACAAAAATTAATAATTCAAATTATATGGAATATATGTATATGATCAAATGGATAAAAGAGTAATTTTAATGTTAAAATCAAGAATGTATCCATGCCATCAAATATTATGACGAAAAAAGCAACAATCAAAATGAATCTATGATGTGAAATAATCAAAACTGTCCTAACTTCAGTAGAAAGTTGAGTGTTTATGTAGGATCACATCCTTTAAAGTGAGTAGAAAATATGTTTTCATTTCACTTTAAAGCTAAAGGGAGACGAGTTTGAAATGTCAAATGACATCATAGAAGTAAACATTCCTAAACAAGTATTTTAATGTTTACATAAATCTATACTTTGCATAAACTTCACCAAAACAGGAGATTTCTATAACAGAGTAGGTGTGAGATGATTAATGTAATAATGATGTGTCTTATGGGAGTCTGGTAATGAAAAGTGTTTTAGGCTCCTGAAGAGCAAAACACACTCCAGAATGTGTTTTGTCCTCATTCTGCACTTACACTGAAAAAGTCTGATGGGGGAAACGTTTGTTTCATTTGTCTGTGGAGACCCTAAGTCAGCACTTCACAATATAGATGTGTGTGGATGTGTATTTATGCATGGAACAAAGTGCAATTTGTGGTGTGTCCTTTTTTATGTTTCCTTTTCTTTCAAACTTATTTGTATTTGTCTCAGAAACTGTTACTGATGCTTCAATTTCTTTGCACAATCAACCAAAGGTGACGAGCAGAGCTGGCTTTTAGCAGGAAGTCAAATGTTTTTTAAGGGAGTACAGACCACCAGAAGCGAGGTTCCAGTGTTTGGAGCCACAGCGTGCAGGTGGCACCAAAACATTACTCAGTGTACAAAGCAATAAATCCATAGTAACAGTTCTGGTCAAAACGTCATGAACAGTCATTATGTAACCGTTTTTTATGCATTTGTTTAAGAGTCGTGTTTTCTTGTGATAACAAATATAGAAAATAAATAAATAAACAGAAAAAAACATAGAAATATATGTATAAAAAATATAGGAATAGAGTCCGGCACAAACGTCTTTGACAACAAGGAAGAGTTTGTGACAGGGCTGCTCACCAGATGAGAATGATAAAAAGAGCTCCGTCTGAGAGGCGGACGCTCTTCTTCTTCATGTTTCTGTTTTTGTTTTGGTGTGTGCTGTGGTCCCCCCCCCACCCCTCTCTCTCCTCACTTTTTAGTTTGATTAATGTTCTTCATTCAGTGGCTGGACCCTTGTTGCCCTACTTAACCATGTGCACCTCCTCTCTCCAGCTGTTCAACCCTGATTTCATTGTCACAAAATGCATCGACATTAAGGATGAAATCTAAACAGGTGATTGTACATTTTCAAAAATGACAAATGTGCAACCTGAAGTAGTTAAAAGTTTTTACTTTTCTGTGCCTCTGAAGTTACAGTGTGATTCTATGCCTTCTGTTGCTGTGTAAATTGAGAGGTTTGTTGGTGTCGAACTGAAATACTCTATATCATTTTTAATAAAAATTTAAAAAAAACAGTGTGTGTCCGGAGTATTTGTGTTGGCAACAAAGAAGAAAAAGTAATGAAAAAAAGGTGAAGAACAAAAAAAGGCAATCATGCTATTTCTTAGCTTGACCATTGCTACACTTTACATTACGTATTCACATGTTGCTAATAACTCAAGTTGTTCAAATTGCAATAACCGATGCACAATAACGGAAAAAGACATAATCAATATTTATGGATGCTGATAATATTTAAACGACGCATAAATGGCTGTAGGAGCAGTGGGACTTAACCACCGCGGGAGCTACTTGGGGAAAGGGCTCTGTGAGGTTTCAGTGAGACAGGTCAGATCAGATTGTGGATCAGGTGGAAACAAAGACAGGGAAAAACGAGAGTGGACACAAACTAGTTAAAAAGGGCCGGTATATATACTGCCAGACTAATGTGGGAAATGGGGAGCAGGTGAGCAGGTGGGCAGGGATTACTACAGGAGGAAGTGACTGGATATGGTCAGGTGACTGGGGTGGGTGGCAAAGTCTGATCTCATGGACAAGCAGATTAATATGCAATGAAGGGGACCTGAGGATGTGGAAATGTGGCTGAAAGGAGGGACAGAGAGGCAGATTGGGCAAGAATAAACACAACTGAGGCAGACATTGTGGCAATTGTATATACTGTAACAAGAAAGACATTCACAACATACCATAAACATTTTTTCTTACTGACTGCAAGACACAGTAACATTAATAAACTGATGTTGAAGGAATGATCTTCAGTGGGTGAAACCCTGACAGTCGTGTTTTCAGTCGTGTAGCTGCTCCACTCAGGCCACAGGAAGTCCTCAGTTAATGGCTGCCCTCCTTCCCCGTCGGTGAAATCAATGGGGTCGGTCCCCAGTGTTCTGCTGCATCTATCAACTGCTCTAACCTCTTAATGGAGACGAGAGGGAGGAGGAGCACTTATCGAGCTATTTGGAGGTGTTATTTTGATTTAGGAGCTGATCCCCACCTCATCCAACAAACCTTCAGCACACGGTTCTCACAGATGATCTTCAGAGGAATTACTGAACAACAAAGCAAAACAGTACACCTGAGCCCGAGTAGAGATACATCATTTTACTTTTAGGTTAATGCGTTATCCACTGAAGTCACATGCATTGCTATACATATGTTTATTGGGACAAGACAAATATGTAAAACCTGAGAAATATATATTTTTTACACAACATAAACATGAAACATTTTAAAGACCAATGAATCAAATGTTAATAGTCGTACAAAATTAATCATAATACTTATTTCAGATCATTTCTTTTTCATTTTTTTAAATAAATCAAAAACTGCTGTAGATATCATTCACACATATTCACCATATGACCATGTAGCTGAAATAAATAGATTAATGACAGCCACATACAACACAAGAAATAGTCCAACCCTGCTAAACTATCCCCTTTAAAGTTTATGAAGAGTACCTGTGTACCTGATCATCTCCTTCCTATGTAGTTTAACCTCCATGCCCATCTTTAAAGTCATTTTGTATGGGTTCCTGCACTGTGAAGAGCCGTATTAGTGAAGTGAAATTCAGACCACATTCTCTCTCCTAACATCACTGACGTCAAACAACTCTGCAGGAGCTCTGAAAAGCCCAAGGTGACACAGAGATCAGTGTGTGATTGATGCACAACTTCTGGATCAGGGGATATTAAAAACATGCTCTTTGTCCATGTGTTTGTGTGTGTGTGTGTGTGTGTGTGTGTGCGTGTTATTGTGACTCTTGTCCCGGCTCAGCCCATTGCTTTTGTTAATTTGACAGGCTCAATAAATGCGTCACCAGTCACCCCTAAATGGTATTTTCTCACAGTCAACCAGCCAGAACCGTCATCCCATCCCGGTGCAAGTGAGGGAGGTGACCCATAACCCTTTGTGACAATCAATCCGCCTATTTCACAAAACCTGCCACTTCCCCACAGAAAAGGTAAATAAAAAATAAAAAGTCAAGGTAACAGCAGCCTCTGTATCTGCGTAATTGATGCAAGTCTACGTGCAAAAACACGTCATCCGGCAACTCTTTAAATGTTCTCTTGGGTTTAAAGTTTTCATTTGCATCATGTATATAAATATAGCATGTGCGTCTGACAGCATGGATGCTAAATTGAGAGAATGCGTGTGCATATGTTCAGCATCTTAAATGGCTGTTCAAATGTGGGAGGGGGGCAGGTGCTGCTACAGTCTCAAGGGAGCGGAGGGAGTGTGTGTGAGAGGAGTGGAAGTGGATGCCAAAATCACTCTTTAATGACTCGGGGGCTGCGCTCATGTTGTGCTCGGGCCCCCGAGAGCCTATGCTGCTCATAAATAAGGTCCTGATTTGCACAATGTGCCTCCAGCACCTCTGTGCGATTCACAGGATAATAATGAGAAAGTATATATCTTTAGATAGGACATCGACTTAAGATCAAGCAGGAGACGTAACATCAGTTATGACTGAATTAATGACAGGAATTATTCTCCTCATAGTATCATAATCAAAGCATTTACTGCTGCATCACTCTGTCTTTTTCCAAACCGCATACATTATTGAACATTTTCTGAGTCACTCATTAGCATTTTTGGGAGTTGCTTCATTAAAATAACTGCAAACAGAGAAATGTATTTGTTTTGGGTAACTTCATGCAGCCTCTCCTGCTTTCTGCAGTCACATACATCCACACGTGAGCTGTCCATGGTGCTCTAATGAAGGATCACTGCGTCCCACGAGCCGTGGGCGTGTTCACCGAGCCGTACATAGATATGCAGAATACAGCATGGTATCATGGCATTCAAGACCTTAAATGATCCTGATCTATACGTCGCACTTCTACAAGAATGCTGGATAACGACCCCCCCCCCCACCCACAACAGGCTCTGGATTGGCACCGGTTGGCTCAGGATACAGCAGCAGGATCCTCCTCCTGCACGAGTCAGGAAGCATGATTGGTTGCACATGAAAGCCTTTAGCACCATCACCACAGCTGGTATATATTTAGCTGGTCCTCGCCATCACCCCCCCCCCTCCTCATACGCATCCTCCTACGACCTTGTCAGGAAGTGCGTCATCGACTTGTCGAGGGGGAGCCTCTGGGGCGAGGCACTCCAATATTACAAAGTCAGAAACTCTCCTTCATCAGGCCTTCTTCAAGATCACACACACTGACACACACATGCAAAGAAAGACACTTCTCTGTATGATGCAAGATTATGTGACTTGAGCTAAGATAGAAATGTGTACAGTTCACATGCAGACACAATAATAATCTTTCTTCTTTGTCTTCTCTTTTTTTCCACCTTCAATGCTGTACCAGTTTTAAAATGGAGCGATTCCAAGAGGAGACAGACAGAAAAAGAAATAAAAAGAACAGTTTTCCTTCAACAGGATGAATCCCCAGCACACTGCCGTCCCGAAATACTATGTATGGGATTTGATCACAAATTCCTCCATTATCCAGAGTAAAACATCTGTTTGATATCTTGGAGGGGTGCAGGGAAGAATTGTGCTAATGAGGCACTTTCATAGTACATTCACAGGTCTCTTTCAGCGAAGCTCTAAGAAAAAAACAACCTGTTATAAATTGACCTTTTCATGTATCTCAGGGTTCTAAATAGAGACTAATTTATTGGATTGTTTTTGGTTCGTACACAAACAAAAATTACTTTTGCTTTATTTTCTCTTCTGGAGAAAAAATGTCTGTTTGATAGTTAGATATTTGGATGAAGACAAAAAACAAAAAAAAAAGCAAAGTTTTGCAGCACATGTCGATGCTAGATAGATGATAAGAACATCAGGAACATGGGGAGGAAGGAGAGGGAGGCATTTAATGCAGCTAAGGCACCTGGATTGAAGTGTGTGTGTGTGTGTGTGTGTGTGTGTGTGTGTGTGTGTGT